CAGTGGCAAAGACTTTGTCACCTATTACAATTCTTGTTTTTGGGATAGTTAAAAGGCAATTAGAGGGATGCCTTAGGTTTCTTGGATTTGACAATGGGGTTAATTAATTAGCTAAGTGTAGCGCAGATTTGCCAATAAGAATGTTATGGATGAACAGGGCCCAATTGAGATGTAGTTGAGTTAGTAACCGATAGTAGGCGGTTCAGATATTCGTCACCGATGCTAGCTGTGGTACCCAGCACGTGTAGCCTTAACAGACTTGGGGCAAGTGCTGTTAGCGAGCAACTATGAAGGCCGGCACGGCACACGAAGGGAGTGGGTGGCCAGTACCACGCGCGGCCGCCTTTGTCTCCCTCATGCGATGTTCACACACCGAACCAGGTACTCATTTGAGACCTTTAGGGAGACCCAGGACCTGTTCAGATTCGAATTCGGTTAGCCGGTTTCGTAGCGCAGTGCGTTAACTGCTGCGCGACCACTCCACACACACACGAGCACTGGCAGAGCCAGTGGGGGTGGGATGGCACGTGCCCCCCCCCCCCCCTCCCCAATGATCCGATCGAAAGCCCTAATTTCGATCGGATCATTGGGGTTTATTAGTAATAAATCGGCATTTTGCGACCCCCACTGCCACTGTGTAGCATATTATTACGTGCCAGGGACTCTATGAGATGATAGGACAATAGTCTGAGTCCATAATTGGCAATAAGTAACGGCAAAGCAGTTATAAGTGACTCAGAATTGTGCGCAGTTGCGTATACAGTAGACGACTTCCCTGAAGGCATTCACCTTCAGCGAGCGCGATGCCGATCACACAACGCGGTTCGAATTCGACCCTCGATCGATGGCTGCGCCATCGCCGCACACGCGTCGAATAAAAAGCAAGGGACAAGTCCTTACTTACTAACAACTCCTATCATTTTTCATTGCTGGAGGGGTTCCCCCCCTACCTGAAAATCCTGGCTCCGTCATTGCACACGAGCACACACTATTACTCCGACACGCTTCCACACGGACACAACACACAGCGCGTAATAAGCAATGTTAGCGAGCACTTCGTAATGCCTGCGTGTCGTCACCCAACGCCGCACATCAGCAGGCATGCTTGAAGCAATTATGGTGACTGAATGCTGTTGAAATTGTGCACTCCCATAAGTCTGCGAGGCTGATGGGATGTGTAAACACAGCGGTATTTAACTTCACTTGGAGGGCCATGATGTGTGAGGTGTGCATGCGAATCGTTCGCTCATTGTCTCCGTTAATGTCCGCTGAGGTTCCGTGCCCGCGCGCTCCCTCCCTCGTCCCTCGCTGGGGAGTCGGGAGTTCGATGCGCGCACTCGCGCCCTCCACCCCTCCCTTCTTCATTTTCTCTGCCCCGCCCCCGCCCCTTTTCGCCTCTAAAGGCCGAGTCGTGACCGCTTTGATGACCCCGAGAGAAGGGGGAGTCGAGGACGCGTGGAGCCAGGGGCTTTGGTGCCACGCGGGGGGCGAGAACCGCGAGTGCGAGGAGGCCCTGCAGTGCCACCGGGCCCAGGACAATTATTCCCCTGACCGCCGTGAAAATCACCATCCTCGCCGTGCCTACAGAGAGAGAGGAAGATATGGAACGAGACGCAGTGTAGAGTAGTCGCGGCGATGGCTGTGTTGCCCATGCATGGGCTGGGGGTGGTGGGCAGAGCGTGGGTACCGGGAGCCTGGACGTGAACGGGGTCAGTAGAGTGGCTAGAGCGCAGATGAACAGATCAATTCTGCTGAATGAATGAATGCACTCTGACAAGACCGGGCTGATGGGATGTGTTATACTGTACTTGTGAAATTGAGAGCAAGTAAAATAATTTTAACCGTTCTGATACCTGCAGGCGTAGTTCTGCCTGTAAGCGTATTATCAAGTAATACACTGTTGAACTGCGTGCCTATACAGGTCACCATACAGGTCGATGGTGCTTAACTGTGAGCAGCCAATACTAGGTACTGTATTGCGATTTGTGCACCCAAAATCGGCAGAATGTACATACATGTACATACATAATGTACATGCATAACATGCATACACAGGCAATCATCATCAGGTGGGAAAACCACAGCAATATTTTTTTTGCTGAAGTGGGAGAGAGAGTTGCCGTGGCAATAGGCTATATAGGCAATAATGGGGGGAGGAGCAAGGGGGGGAGAGGGAGGGGTGGGGGTGTGGGGTAGGGGGGGAAGCGCTGCGTGGACGCCGGGAGAGGGACGCGAGGCTGGGGGGGAGTGGGCGGGGCTGGGAGGCCGAGAGAGCTGGGGATGCGGAGGGGAACAAAATAGAGAAGTCGTGGTAGCCGGCAGATATGATAGACGGCAACCACTACAAAGCAGTTAGGGTTTTACCTGGTTAGGAGTAAGGGAGGAGAGGGAGGGGTGGGGGTAGGGGGTAGGGGAGGGGGAAGTGCTGCGTGGAGTAGTGGTACCCGGCAGATATGATAAACGACAACCACTACAAAGCAGTTAGGGTTTTACCTGGTTAATAACATCCTTCAAATGATTGCTCAATTTGTATAAACAAAATTATTACTGTGGTTTTCCCACCTGATGATGATTGCTTGTGTTGCAATCGAAACGTCGTGATTTAATTGATTTAATTTTCTACCTACGTGACTTTACCGAAAGAACCAAAGAGTATGGATCCCTGCAGTGACGAAAACTTCAAATCTAGATTGACAAACCTTACTAATTGGCCGTGTCAGATGTTGTCGGCTTTAACGACACATTTATATTTATGTGATCGAACACGATTGTTTTAAATTATGGACTGTACTTGTATGTATTTATGTGGAGAGATAGATATTGTAAGGAAGCGAATTACGTCTTCATTTCGTAAAATATTCCCCATAACGAGGCGAGTGATGATTCTGTGCTGCCTTGTGAAGCTTTGTGTTGAACCAAGACCCATATCTAAAATACAAGGTTCTTGCTTATAAACATCTGGCAGTTCATCAATATTGGTTTAAGCAAACCTGACTCTGCTGATGAGACATTGAATGTTAAAACCGGTCCAGTGTTGATTGTGTTGAACCAATACTGCTGAAAAGGGCACTCCCAGAAGGCCGCGTGGCTGATGGGATGTGTCAACATATGGGTAAGTAGAAAAAACGTGTACGTGTGTCATGTGTATGTGCGCTGTGCACGGTGTGTTGTGTAGAGTGTATTATGTATAGCGTGTTGTGTATCGTGTTGTGTGTTGTTTGGTGATGGGACTGGTGATGTATCAGTTGATGAGGATGAGACTGGTGATTAATAATTCGCCCTAATTGAGCGCTATCGGGAGCATGTGGCGCTCCACGGGGGTGGGGGGCGAGGCGGTGGGGGTCTCCAGATCGAGTCATGTGAGTGGGGGGCAGGGATGATTTAGGGCCAATGAGCGGCACTGGGGGCGACCCCCGCCTACGGCTCCACGCGCATTTTAATGGCGAATTAAGACACCAGCAACAGTAGCCCCGTCTCCTCCGTCACACGGCCTTCATCACCACCATCACCACCATCGTCAACACACAACCTCACACAGGCTCCTCTCTCTGCTGAGATGTTTAGCAGCCATGAATGTCAAGAGGGAGAGTTAGCCTTCGTGTGGGATAAACCCCATCACGTATTACTGGGGTAACACTTTAATATCCACACAGATAGATTCAATAATCCATTAATAACCCCAACACGCACCTCCGATTAGCGCGGTTTGTTAGATACGATGCGAAAGAAGTTCAACGTACATACAGACAAACCAATCCATAACCTTAATCCTAACCCCAACCCCTACCCTGACTGCAGCTCGCGCCCCTCCTCCGAGCCCCCGGCTCCACTCGCTCGCTCGCCCCGGCTTCTTCTCCCAGCGTCGAGACCCGCGAACCAAACCGTCACAACCTGCAGGGTGTGGAGGTTGTGGGTGTGAGGGTCTGTGGGTGTCAGGGTGTGAGAGTATTGTCGTGGTTAGCGCGCTGCGCTCCAAACCTGGCGAGATCAGTTCGATTCCCGTTCACGGCCACCATCGGTGATGATGATCTGAACCAGTGCTGGACCTCCCTTAGGCCGCCTCAACCTCAAATGTGTACCTGGTGCTGTGTGAAAACGTCGCTACCGAGAAGACAAAGGCGTCCGGGGGCGTGGTTCTGGCCTCCCATCTATTAGTATGCCGTGCCGGCCTTCATAGGTGCTCGCTAAGAGAACTTGCCCCAATATTCTGTTTAGGCTATACGGTGGATCTTTGTCTTCGTGTAATTGTGACTGGTAAAAAGAACCCCCACCTCGGTGGTTGCCGGTGGGGACCGCTGTGGTGTGCGGTGAGCAGTGCCATTGGGGGGAAGGCCGATACCGTTTAGCTGTTACCCTCGTGGCCAGCGGGGGCTCTGGACGGGTGCACGCAAGAGGACAAATCAAGCTGGTGCCATGCCGTGCCGGCGGCCATCGGCGGGCAGTCGTGGATGCCATCTCCTGGCCAAACCCCATTCGGCGGAGCCAGGAGAATGTATTCCTCCCCCAACCCTCGGGGTTCCTCCAGAAACACCAGGAAGCCAATGCGCCTGGTTACGTGGAATGTTCGAATCCTCACTGCGGAGGAGAGGCTGCCATTCCACTGTCGGGAGTTGGACCGGTGCCCGTATTGACCTCTGTGAAATAAATTCGGTCCGATGAGCTGGTTCTGGCTTCAGTCATTACGAGGGGCAGGAAACTGCCAAACAACAGGGGGTGGTTCTTCGTCTGCACAATGAATGAAGGGCACGTGGGAGCGTGGAGGCGAGGTGTAGGAAGCTGCGAGACTCCAAACTACTGTGGGCTCGCCACCCCAATAACGCTATTCATCGGTCTCCAGTGTTCGCGCCGTCGCGCTCCACCGCGGTACCACGAGGAGGAGAAGGCGGGAGGGAGGGGCGGAGGTTTTTGGAGGGAAGGGGGAAAGAGAGGGGAGGGGTGGAGGGGTGAGGCGGGGAGAGGGGAGGGGGCGTTTATAAGTGCTGTGGTGAAGGCGTTGAGCGCGCAGAAGCTCCGTCCGCTCCGCTCTCAATCTGCAACAGCTGACAAAGGCGACACGCACAGGTGAGACACTCAGGTGACACACACAGGTGCCACAGGTGATAAGCACACATTAAACACGCGCGTGTCCCTGTCAGGGACCGTGAGCACCGCGTGTGGATTTTCAACTGATGGTCGGGTTACCTACACGCGTGCACTGTGCACGCGTGTGTGTCCCCGTGTGTGTGCGCGTGTGTCCCAGTGACACAAATTGAATTCCCGCTCACGATCAACAACTGTGGCGAAATGTCTGAACCGATCCTGTGCTTCTCCAAGATCAACTCAGCCTCAAATGAGTACCGGGTGCGGTGTGAAAATATCGCCACTCGGGATACAAAGGCGGCCGGGCGTGGTGTTGGCCACCCGCCTCCTTGTGTGTCATGCCGGCCTTCATGCCTGCTAACAGCACTTGCCCCAACAGTCTGTTAAGGCTACACGGGGGATCTTTGTATTTGTGTGTGCAGACAGCGGCCGTCATGAAGGGAGCCCTGCTGCCCGGGGACGCGGGCCCCCCGGGATCCCCGCCCCCCCTCGCCGCGTCGCTGCCCGAGAGGACCTCCCCGCGGTCGCCCCTCCCGGCCCTGCTCGCCTCCCCCACCGCGGGGAACGGCACCTGGGAGGGGGGCTCGGCCCCCCCCGCGTGGTGGGGGGGCGGCACGGGGGGCCTCGGGGTCCTACCCCTCGTTTACTACAGCGGCCTCCTCTCCCTGGGACTGCCCGGTACGGACACCAGCACACACCGGTTGCCACACTCAGCGTCTCATCAGCAGGGTTGGTCTCGGGAGGGGCCGGTGGGGGTGAGGCACGGCCCAGGGTGGGACCCGATCTGGAAATGTGGGGGCCCCGGATAGGTCGCGCACTGGATCGCTAACTCACACGTTCATTCTTCCCATAAACCTCACTCATTGATTTCTTGTTGAAGACTCGCTCTCTACCAGACACTGACTGTTTCGCCCCACCCACTCCACTATATTCAATAACCACCACACTGCAAGTCACAACAAACTCATCCAATCACAAACCCACTCACCCACTCGTCAACCCACTCACCGCGCTGCAGGTTACCTCGCTTCTCTTCCCGCGCACTTCTCCACTCTGGAACTCCCCCCTCCTCCCACCGCCATCGCCTCTTCTCCCCGAGGTCTCACAGTCGTAACCTCACTCAATTCAACAAACGCATTACCCCTCATCTATTATACATGCAAGGGGTGCTGTTTGTTGCTGGCCGTTCTTGGAGTTTTGGGTGGCCTTTGGGCTTGCGCTCAGCAACCGTGATTTATGAGACGCACGGTTCCCCCGCTCGTCACCCCACCCCCTCCCTCACCAGCCAACGCGCTCACGCTTTTGGTGCTGCTGCGGCTGCTGCGCCGCCGCCACAAATCGTGCTACAGCTACCTGCTGGCGCTGGCCGCTGCTGACACCATCACGCTGCTGCTCGTGGTGCTGCTCGACCTGCTGCTCCTGGGCGGCTGCGGCGGCGCGGCCGGTCTCGGACCCCCTCCCTCCGCGGCCGCGGTGTCGGCCGCGCGGCCTCCGGGGGCCCTGCTGCGCCTGCTGGGGGTCCTGCAGTTCGGCGCGAACCACGCGTGCGTGTGGACCGCAGTGCCACTCACGGCCGACCGCTACGTGGCCGTGTGCCGCCCGCTGCGCTACTGCTCCGTGTCGTTCCCGGCGCGGGCGCGGCGCGTCATCGTGTCCGTGTACGCCGCCAGCCTGGCCTCGGCCGTGCCCTTCTACTGGTGGCCCGATGCGTGGGGGCGCGGTGCGGGCGGCTCCCGCGCGGCCGCCGCGGCGCCGCTCCACCGCGCGCTGCTGTGGTTCCACTGCCTGGCCGCGTACTTCGTGCCGTGCGCGCTGCTCCTGGCGCTCAACGGCGCCATCGTGAGACGCCTGCGGAGGCGGAGGGGGCGACGCGGAGTGGCGGGAGGAGGAGGGGGGCGCACGGGGCTGGGCGCGTCGCGGCCGCGCCACGGGAAGCCCACGGCCGTGCTGCTGGCCGTGAGCGCGGCCTTCGTGTTGCTGTGGGCCCCGCGCGTGGCCGTGGCGCTGTACCGCGCCTACGCGCCCCCGGGCCGAGACGCGGCGCGCCTGGCGCAGCTGGCGCAGCTGGCGCACATGGTCGCGCTGCTCAACGCCGCCCTCGACTTCTGGCTTTACTGCTTCGTTTCGCGCCGCTTCCGCCGCGCCGCCGCGCTCACGCTGCGCGCCATGGCGCCCTGCGCTGCGCTGCGCGGGGGGCCGCGGCGGCAACGGGGAGCGGCGTGCGGCGCGGAGGCCGCCGGGATGAGATCCGGGCGGGCGGCGCGGGGCGCGGGGCTGCTGAGCGGCGCGGGGGGCGCCGGGCTGGGCGGCCCCCCTCCCTCGTCGTACAGCGCGGCGATCACCGTGTCCAGCAGCAGCAGCCTCAGGGTCTCGCCGTCGGACGCGCCCGTCGGCTCCACGACGCGCAAACTACCCCTGCTGCCCGACACCGCGGAACCGGGGCCCTGAGCCGGAGAGGCGAAGCGTCTCTGGTTTGCAGCCCCATTGCCTCCGCGCTACAGGTCCCAACGTCTTTTGCTCACGGAGACGCCGTGTGCCGGGTTGAGCCGAGTGAAGCTGATGGGACGCGAGGGGTCTCGTGCAGATCGAGGTCTGGGCGCGCGCGAGGTCGCGCGGTGGACCTTCTGGGACTTCGTTGGGCCCCCGTCTCCTCCGGGGCTGACGTGACCCTCAAGGATCATCCTCGAGTGATCGCGAGGAGGGCCCGCGTCACCCGGGGACTGAGGGAGGTGGAGATCGGGCGGAGCGTCTGGAGGAGGAAACGCGGGGACGATGGTGGCAATGATGATGACAGAGAAGAAAGTGACAGACGCGATGATAGAAGCATACTAGTGAAGATTTGTGATCGTCATTGTGATGATGATGGTGGTGTTGACGATGGTAGCAGTGGTATCGACAGCAGTGTTCGCTGCGCCGTTCACTCGCGCTCGTACACGAACCTCTCCCAAGGAGGCTCACATGCTGTTGGGCAAAGTGTTGTTAGCGAGTACCTATGGCAATCGGAACAGCACACAAGGGGGTGGCTAGCACCACGTCCGGCCGCCTTTGTCTCCCAGGTAATGATGTTTACAGACAAGGCACCAGGTACTCATTGAACGCTGAGTCGACCTAGGGGAGGCCCAGTGTTGGTTTGAATATCACTCACCACCGATGTTAGCCTTCAATAGAAGCTCAGGTCGCTGGGTTTGTAGCGCAGTGGACCAACCGCTGCGCCACCGCTCCCCACACACAACAGCCGCCGCAATTCACCAGAGGTGGAGACGTCACCAGAGCGCTTGTCCCAGGCTTGGTGCACTTTGAAGCCGTCACGTGAAGTAAGGCTCGATGCAGGAGGTCATGAGACAGATCCTGGTGTTATGAGTTCACTGACTGAGATGACTGGGACACACACAAAACAAAAATTCCCCATATAGCCTTCAAGAGACTGTTGGGGCAAGGACTGTTAGCGAACACATATTAAGGTGAATACCGCACATGGGGGCAGACTTCGTCTCCCCAGTGCTGATGTTTACACACCGCACCAGGTACTCATTTAAGATTCGGTCGATCTAGGAGAGGGCCTAGAACCGATTCAGCTAATTCGTTACTGATTTTGGCCGCCCGTGAGCGGGAATGGAACTCGGGTGGCCCGGTTCGTAGCACAGTGCGACAACCACTGCGCCACCGCTCCATCTGGTGCTAAACCCGAACTGGGTTCGAGGAGCGAGGGGCCCATGTGGAGGAGGTAGCAGCCAATCACAGCGCTGGACCAGCCGGTCATAGGTGCCGGAGCGCCACCGCCACAGGACACGTGAGCCGGTATCGTCACACACGGCCTCGGTGACTAACTCGTCGTCGCGTCTCCGCGGAGACGATATCAGTTAAAACATCATCAGACGTTCCGCCTCCTTTCCACATTTTTTTCTCCACGTAAATAATGAGATGGGGTTTTTTACACATCCCATCAGCCACACGGCCTTCTGGAAGGGTGATCATTGCAGCAACATTTGTTCAATACAAGCAAAAACTCTGCACCGGTTTCGATACGCAGTGTCTCATCGGCAGAGTCAGGCTTGCTTGAACGACTGCTGGTGAACTGTCAGATGTCTGTGGACAAGGACCCTTTCTCTCTTAGACATGGGTCCTGGTTCAACACACATCTCTGTAATACACAACACAGGGTAATCACTCGCTTCGTTTTGGAGAGCATACGTGACACGGATGTGGGAAGGGGGCCGATTAACTATCTGCGTATGTTTCGATTTAAAACTTTCGTGACTGCATGGATTCATCTTCTTTGGTTCTTTCGGTAAAGTCACGTAGAATGAGAATAAAATAATACATTTATAAAATAAAATAACACAATAATATTCTCACGACGTTTCGGCCACAACACAAGCGGCCTTCATGAAGGCTGCTTGTGTTGTGGCCGAAACGTCATGAAGGCCGCTTGTGTTGTGGCCGAAACGTCGTGAGAATATTATTGTGTTATTTTATCAATTTATTATTTTATTCTCATTCTACGTGACTTTACCGAAAGAACCAAAGAAGATATCTGCGTATGTGTAGAGTCATCGAGCTCAGGGACGTAGCGCATGGCATTGTTGATTCCCTGGGTTCGAGTCCCGTGTCAACCGCCCACTGTGATCGAACCGGGTTCTCAAGGGTGGCGAGTCGGCGGTCTCAGCCCGATGTCACCAATGACTGCACAGAACACGTAATCAAATTCGCCTATCTACAAAGTCGCAATGCGAGAGCTATTGCGACTTTGGGGAATACAAACATTGACTCTGAGCATCATACAACCAACGCCTCTCGCTGTTCCAAGCGGGCAACAGCGCCACTTGTGTTTGGACCAGAGGTCACGTGTATGTATGCATGTTGAACTTCTTTCGCACTTGATATTTCAGAGCCAGCTCCATGCTTTTCAATTCCGCGGGCCGTTCTGTAATACGGGGGGGGGGGGGGGGGGTGTCTCGCATTGCTGTGCGAGGGTTCCGAATGGATTCTTTGTTGACAAGCTTTGCGATGTTGTCGGCGGTGGTGGCCGCACTGCGCGTGGTCTCCCATCCAGCACTGTGGAGGCAGCAGCGTGGGTTGGTGGATCACACAATTGTTGTGAAACTCCCTTCCCGTGGGCGTCAAGGTGCCAGAAGGCGGTACAGCAGAGTGTGGACTCCATCTGTCCCATCTGCATGAGATATAGTGTCTCCCCCCAGCACGCGTGGGTTTTCTCAAGGTATTCTTTGGGTCTTTCGGTAAAGTCACGTGGATAGGTTCAAAGAAAATAACAAAAACATTCGTGATGAGTTCCTGCAGTCACGAAAGCTTTAAGTCAAGATTTCTCAAGGTACTCGTGTGTCCTCCTACATGTATGAACACCCACCTATCAATTGGCCAAAAACATCTCAGAGCCTGACCCACTGGTCGCGCCAGCTCACGCGAAATGAAACTCTACATTAATATCATTCATAGTATATGCAAACTATATGCTAATGATATTTTCATGAGATGTGTTGGCCAAAGGGACGAACATAACGTGGAACAATACTAACGAGACGAGATAATCGATCCTTGAATCGTACCACGAACCCGAATTGTGGACTCCACGAATCGCCACCGCGGGGTGCCAGACTCTCCCTCGGGAGTGTTGGGGGTCATGGTCGGGTCACGGTGGGGTGGGATCAGCGCTAGAACTGGAATCTAAAGTCAAGAGTTTCTATTCAAACCAGTATTGAGGCATTGACGCTCATCTCCTGTTTACAGTCCTGCAGAGCCAGCGGTATACATTCCACGTTCCTCTGGCGGGGGCGAGTTTATCCATATGACCAATCATCTCTGACCTTCCCCACAAAGTGGTGCTAATTTTATCGATCCCGGAGGGAGCGATGATGAATCAGCCCCCACCCAACCAGGGATTGAACTCGCGATCTTCCGATTGTGAGCTGCTATCTCTAACGCTGAGCCAGCCGGACAGAAACAGGGTTATGGATAGGCTTAGAGGTGTGGTCACAGGTAGGGTGCTTTAGGGATAGGGTTAGAGGTGTGGTCACAGGTAGGGTGCTTTAGGGATAGGGTTAGAGGTGTGGTCACAGGTAGGGTGCTTCAGAGATAGGCTTAAAGGTGTGGTCACAGGTAGGGTGCTTCAGGGATAGGCTTAGAGGTGTGGTCACAGGTAGGGTGCTTCAGGGATAGGGTTAGAGGTGTAGTAACAGGTAGGGTGCTTCAGAGATAGGCTTAAAGGTGTGGTCACAGGTAGGGTGCTTCAGAGATAGGCTTAAAGGTGTGGTCACAGGTAGGGTGCTTCAGGGATATGCTTAAAGGTGTGGTCACAGGTAGGGTGCTTCAGGGATAGGCTTAGAGGTGTGGTCACAGGTAGGGTGCTTTAGGGATAGGGTAAGAGGTGTGGTCACAGGTAGGGTGCTTCAGGGATAGGCTTAGAGGTGTGGTCACAGGTAGGGTGCTTAAGGGATAGGCTTAGAGGTGTGGTCACAGGTAGGGTGCTTCAGGGATAGGCTTTGAGGTGTAGTCACAGGTAGGGTGCTTCGGGGATAGGCTTAGAGGTGTAGTAACAGGTAGGGTGCTTCAGGGATAGGCTTAAAGGTGTGGTCACAGGTAGGGTGGGGTTCAGTGTCGGGTTAGAGCAGGGGTTGGCAACCTGCGGCTTTTTACGGATTTCTTCGTGATGTAATGTGTGTATGTATTCACATGTAATGTGTGCATGTATTCACATGTAATGTGTGTATGTATTCACATGCAATGTGTGTATGTATTCACGTGTAATGTGTGTATGTATTCACATGTAATGTGTGTATGTATTCACGTGTAATGTGTGTATGTATTCACGTGGAATGTGTGTATGTATTCACATGTAATGTGTGTATGTATTCACATGTAATGTGTGTATGTATTCACATGTATTGTGTGTATGTATTCACATGTAATGTGTGTATGTATTCACATGTAATGTGTGTATGTATTCACAGGTATTGTGTGTATGTACAGTGAGGGGAAAACGTATTTGATCCCCTGCTGATTTTGTACATTTGCCCACTGACAAAGAAATGATCCGTCTATAATTGTAATGGTAGGTTTATTTGAACAGTGAGAGACAGAATAACAACAACAAAATACAGAAAAGCGCATGTCAAAAATGTTATAAATTGATTTGCATTTTAATGAGGGAAATAAGTATTTGACCCCCTCTCAATAAGAAAGATTTCTGGCTCCCAGGTGTCTTTTATACAGGTAACGAGCTGAGATTAGGCGGACACTCTTAAAGGGAGTACTCCTAATCTCAGCTTGTTACCTGTATAAAAGACACCTGTCCACAGAAGCAATCAATCAATCAGATTCCAAACTCTCCACCATGGTCAAGACCAAAGAGCTCTCCAAGGATGTCAGGGACAAGATTGCATACCTACACAAGGCTGGAATGGGCTACAAGACCATTGCCAAGCAGCTTGGTG